TATGAGCATCACTAGATTATATATTAATTTATAAGGAGGCATATGAGTTTGAAGAAAAAAGATAAATAATACAAATAATTTAAAATAATTTAATAACTTTCTTAATTTTCTCAAATTAGTTAGTCGGGTCTTATATTAAAAACCGAAAATAGTATATTATTATTCATGGTTTATAAATAATAAGTCTCTAAATGAAGAGAAATGCTACTTAGCTTAAGTGTTAGTTTTAAGGTTATAATTATATTGATAATTTTGGTGGGAAGGTATTATATTAAACGTGGAAGTTGAAGTAGGTTTCTCCATTCTTGTAAATTCCAAATGAGATGTTCATTTTTATCAATCGTCTGGATTAAAGCCACGTCTAGATATGTTCACATGTCCCATTAAAAATGGATGTCCGCCTCTCTCTAGATCTCTCTCTCATGCAATATTATACTTTTTTAATCATTAATATAAGATCTATTTAACTATTTTGATTAAATTAAGAAAGTTAGTTTAAGTTAGGTAATAATCATAAATATAGCATATGTTTCCTAAAATGCCCTCAGTTAAGAGGTTTTTTTTTGGTTACTGCAATCCGCTACACACCCACACTTCACACGCGTGCATCCACGCTAATCATCAATCAATATCAATATCAATATCAATGTCATCAATATATATACTCCTCCTATCCTTAATATACGACCCATTTAACTAGTTTGATTAGATTAAGGAAGTTAGGTAAGTTAGTTAATTATAAGAAATGTGATACATTTTTCTTAAAACACCATAATCATCTTTCTTAATGCCCCCTCCCTCTTCTACTTGATTATGGTTGAGGGAGTATCCATAGGGGTAATTTAGAGAAAATTGATAAATATGAAAAATGGGTCTTATATTTAGGACCAAAACCAACTCAAGAATTGGGTCCTATATTAAGAACCGGAGGAGTATTAAAACTCTTCCACCAGGCCACTTTTAAAAATGGCTTACTATTGGCTAGACACCTAAATTACTGTTCACAAGCTATCATAAATTATGTGTGGCTTGCAATTAGGATTCTCGGGCTTCATGCTATGTGACTCAATTAAGTAGCTGCTTGCAACATTGTTTTGTGATGGTCAAACAAGACATTGTAACCTGCTTTAAAGGTTGTTGAAGATTATTTTTTAAATTATTCCATATCCTTTGAAGTTCCTTTTGAAAACAAAATCTTAGCAGAAATTTTTATTATTCAACGTAAACTTGTAAAATTTTTACTCTGTAACTTGCTTTTCTTAATTTTAAATACATGACAAGAATTATCGCTGAAAACTAGATATTTCTCTTTCTTACCTTTTTTAGATATACAGAAATGAAAGACTGGAAAAAAAAAATTTTATAACTTTTTTTTCACCAGCATTTTTTATAAGCTTGTTGAATATTATTTTTCAAATTATTTCATATCTTTTAAAAACCAAAATTTAGCACCATCTTTTATTATTCACTATAATCTTATAAAAATTTTAATTTTTTAATTTTTTATTTTAAATACAAGGTAATAATTATGAATGAAAATAAGATATTTTTTCTTTCTTGCCTTTTTTAAATATTGAGAAAATATTGGAAAAAGTATTTTTTTTAAGTTGTTGAAGATTATTGTTTTAATTATTTCATATCCTTATAAATTTTTCTTTAAAAAAAATCTGAGCACAATCATTTACTATTCCCTATAATCTAATGAAATTTTTATAATTAACTTTTCAGAATGTATATAATTAACTTTTCAGAATAATGTTAATATAAATTATAAAATTCAAGTGTAATAAATTTTTAAAAAAATACAAAACACCCAAAATGAGGAACGGAGGTGGAGAGGAGAGAAGAGATTGTACGAGTAAAAACATAAATGAAAAAGATTTGCTTACACTAAAGCGCTTTTCGAGTGTGTTCAGCAGGAAGCCAAGTAGATGGTAGATGGGAAGGAGACAAGAGAGTGAAGCAGCATTCAGAGTGCAGTGATGCAGAACTGTAGAAGGCTGAATCGCAGTTGCAGAGACATGCAAATGGAGAAGAGGCCAACAACTCTAGAGGCAAGAGAGAATCTATTTCCGTTTTGGGTCGGTCCCTAGAGAGACAGTTCCATTCAAATTCAAAATTCAAAATCATTTGACTGAGCAAATGGCTTCCCTCCTTCAAGCATCAAACCCGAAAGAAAGATTCCTGAAGGTTGTGATCAAACTTCTCTCCCCTACATTCTCATCTCTCTAATCCAAGGGTTTTCAAATTTTGAATACCCTCTGGGGCATTCCATCTCAGGTTTTTGAACACTTTAAACCCCTCCTCTGCCATCGAATCTCACCCAGGCAAGTGGGAAAAGTTATGTTCTTCATTTTTGTCTTTGATTCAGATTTCCTTTTTGTTGCTTTGCGAACCGTATCTTTCATCTGGGTTGAAGGTGAATGATTCTGGTCTTATTATTTTGTTAGATGATTCTAGTCTTGGTTTTAATGGTTGGGTGAGGACCCGAGTGGGGAGCTGGCTTTATCAGCTTTAGAAATGAACGGGCGAAAAGCTATCATGCGAGGAGGCGAGCGTGGGGGGGATCCGACGAGGCAGAGAAATTAAAGAAGGCACCTTTAAAGCTAGACAAGTCCTTGTATCAAGCTTTCTTTGACTAACTTTCCCCCTCATTACAATCAATCTTCTATCCTGAATGCTAATAAAATGGATCTTTTGAGTTTAACCAAGAATGCACGCTCCAGAGCATGTTTTCTTATTGGTTCTTCAAATTTTTTGTTCTTCAATTTTGGTTTCTATTTTGGGCAGCTTTTCTTATGGGACTAATTCAATGGTGGTGAGTCTGGATACTTACGTTTCCAATTAGTTATCTGCTTCTCCATCCTCTACTTTGTGAAAAAGCAAATCATTAATAATATGTACAGTACTAGTATTTTGGTGATATGGATTTTGTTTCTGTCGGAGACTTTAGATGATATGGATGGTTCAACTTTTATTTAAAATCTCTTCGTCCCATTCATCATTAATGATCATTCCTGCAATTTACTCACGTTTAGAAGACATCATTTTTTTTAATTATAATCATAAGTTTGAGTCATTTGAGTAATTTCTTCATATTGTAAAATCAATTCTATATACTAAACAACTGCTGGAAATTTTCTTGCGTGAAATATACTTTGTTTCAGACTAATGCTTATGTAAAGGTGGAAGCAGCAATTGCATGAAATTTTCCAACACAGGCAAATGAAGGTAGCAATGTCATGTTTCTCAACCAAATCTTGCTTTAGTTTGGTGGCATTATGTTTGGAATCTGCTTGGCCCTTCAATCTGTGGTAAAATGCTCCTTCTTTACCAACCTTTTTATTTCATTACATTCTGAATTTTTTACAATATATATTTTTCTGTACATATTCTATCACATTTTATTTAATTATTTAATTCATTCATCTGGGAATCTCAGATTTGCTGATACATAGAAACTATGTTTTAGTTTAGACTCATGACTTGACAACTTTTTAGATTGTATACAAGATACATATTTAAGGTAATTAATAGTTGTGTGGGTTTCTTATTTTATTTTCAACACACGTGTATTTGAACAAACTCTAAAAACCAATTAAAAAAAATGTTGTGTTGGGATTTGAATTAAGGAGGAATGACACTTTAATTTTTCGTCAGACAATTATTTGACATTTTTATTTTTATTTCTTTAAGACATCATGTATGACCGGCCTTATTGAGATTCACAATTATCATAAAGTTATATTGGACAAGTTCAAGTTTTCATGTGCCACACTGATCAAGATCTTTCTAGACTGATTTTCAAATTATATGATAGAGGTCAGGCCATGAAGGGGTCACTTTAGAATCATCAAACAATCTAAAATAGGTAATAAATGAGATTCTAGAAAATTGACTGAGATTTGAGATTCAAGATTTATTACGAACTACTAAAATCTTCTCCATAGGCTCCAAGCACAATCCTCCAAAAAAAACAAAAAGAAATTCACATAATAAATACAGTGTTACAGTATTGCCCCATGGAAAAAAAAAACTTAGGTTAAATTACTTATATTCATTATGTCAAGTTCTTCAATCATGTATAGTCATATGTCATTTTTATTTCATGTGAATTTATAATTAAATACTAATATTTCAAAAATGGAACACAAGGTCTAGTGTGATTGCAGAATTTGATATAATAAATATAAATAACTTGGTATAAGTATTATCCTACCTACTGTCTTTAATATAAGATTTAGTTTATAAAACAATTCATAATATGAACTATAATTTGTATTATAGACTAGGGATAGTACTTTCTTATGCATTTACTTCATCCCTCAAAATAGAAGCTTTAAATAACCAAATTACATAATTCAAAAAGTTGGTTAAAATTTGTTGAGGAAAATAAACTTGTAAAAAATGTATCTTATTTTTCTTAAACACCTTTACTTATCCACAGGGTGAGTGGGAGAGAGAATGAGTGAAAAAAATAAATAAGAGAGTATGGGTCGGGAAAAAAAAAGAGATGAGAGACTAACATATGGGACTAATTCCTAGTAACGTGATGAATTAGGTTCGAATTTTTGCTAGAAGAGATGCTTATATTTAATACACGATAGTGTCTCGAATAAGATTACCTCCAATAGGAGTATATCTATGCTTGGAGGGGGGGGAAAGGAACAACGCATAGAATAGACCCAGATGAAAGCAACATGCAATGCAACAAAGTTCAAGCAATGAAAATGCATTGAATAACTTTCAAATTAAGAAATGAATGTGTAGCTTACTTTAACTTTGGAATTAGTATCTCCATATCATTCAAGAGCTCAAGTAAAGAACAAATTCTTATCATGCCTTTATTATCTATCAATGAGTTTAATCTTTCTTCATATATTCATTCACATTCATCTCTTGGTTGTTCTTCCTTGTTTTGTGCTATTTTGTTTCCTCCGTCAAATTTGCAAAAACCATAAGTTAGTACTGTTCGAAACCCTGAGATATCATCGAGCTCATCTATATATCTTACGGGTAATTAAATATTAGCTATCTTGGAGATACGTTTGTTTTATTGATTCTTAAAGATAATTTCTTCATAGTGGGCTTAAATTGTGCTGATTTATTTAATGCCTCTTCGTTTGCACTTTTGTTTCTTTTAGTGTATTTTCAGAAGAAGATCAAATCATCATCTTTGTGCTGATGATCATCGATTCATATTAAAGGTAAATTAAATAACAGAACTAACGAAATTTTTTTTTTTTTTTGCGTGTTGATAAATTACATTGCCTTTTACAAGAGAACATTTGACCTTCTTCCCCCCCCCCCCGGCAACATATGGTTGGCTATTGAGATGATAATGAAAAAAAAATGAATATTATGAATTTTGTAACCATGTTCTAAATTTACATCTGATCTTTTTTTCCTTTGGCAGTCAATGGTTAAGGGCCTGTTTGCATTTTTAATTTTTAAAACAGTTTTGTTTTGGAAAACAAAAGCAATTAAAAAAAACCATGTTTGAAAATATATGTTCGCTTATTTCTTCGGAAATTTGTTCTGAAAACAAAGAAATCATAACATCTTATTACTATTTTGTTACTTTTTTGCCTACAAAATTAAAGAAGAGGCAAAGAACATTGTAATAACAACCACGCTAATACTTAAAGCAAACTATTCAATTTACCTTTCACTTTACCATTATATGTTTTTAAAATAATGATTCAAACAGACTTTTTTCTCTAGTTTTTTGTTTTAAAAAATTATTCCGCAGAAGTGTGCTGATAATATAAAAATACATTAATAGAATCAAACAAGCCATAAAATATGGCAAGTCAGAAGGAATTCAACTTTTTTAAAAGTTTGACATTATTGTAAATGACCCAGATCGACTTGAAAATATGGTAATTTGACATGTAAAAATAAATTGTTAAATTAGATGTGTAAATGACGCAATTTGACTATATACAAGTTTAATTTGTAACTATGATATTTTTGGCATCTATCTGTATTTAGTTTTCTTACTTGGTACCTATGAGTAATTATCCCAATTTTTTATATTAAGCTTGGTTAAAGAGCATTATAAAAAGATTACAATTTTTTGCATCTTTCTTTTGAATTTCACAATAAATTTACAACAATAAATATTTGTAGAATTGAAACTCTTTAAAATTTAAGATGGATAATATCATAGGCTTAATTAAATGAATCACCGTTTGTTTCTCTCTTGAAGGTGGGCATCACAAAATCTGATTCCAGGGTCATTTAGTTTCTTTTCCTGTCATTTGATTGGAGAGTTTGAGGTAATTAACTGAGAAAATATTTTATAATTCTTTTTATTTTATTTCAGTTGTATTTTATTTTGCTGCCTGCTAAGCTTATGATTATACAATGAAAATTCATGTACATAAATACAAAAAGACTTTTCCACTTAAACGACTTCTATAATATTATTTAAATAACAGTTTGTTATATACTTTAATTTGGAGCTAAATTATACAATTTTGAGAAGGAAAATACTTAGGTTAAGTGTTCTTCACTCATACATAGTCGTTTATTATATTTTTTCCATGTGGGTTTATAATTAAATGATAATATATTAAAAATAAGACAGATGACTTTGTATATTATCAGGAAATTTGACATAATAAATATAAAGGAGTTTGATGTAAATATTTTCTGAGAAGGAAAATCGGAAATACTTTAAATCTCGTTTAAGAAAAAATTTGTCCATTTTGTAGTGCAATTACAAAATAGATCTTATATTTACAACCGGATAAGTATTATTTTTAAAGGTACTTATTAATATACATTGTTGTCTATAATTTCTTCTAGTATACTATAATTAACTTGAGAATTCCTGATTTTCTTGTACTCTCATAATTAAATAGTTTCAGTTATTATCCTTCTGCATTGGTTTTTGGCCCAAAAGATATCAATATTACTCTTCCAATCCTTAATATAAAATCTATTTAACTACTTTGATTAAATTAAGAAAGTTAGTTAAGTTAGGTAATAATTATAAATATGGCATATGTTTTCCAAAATACCCTCAGTTAAGAGTTTTTTGTTTTTTGGTTACTTCAATCCGCTACACACCCACACTTCACACACATGCATCCACGCTAATCACCAATCAATATCAGTATCAATATCAATGTCATCAATATATATATAAAAACTCTTCCACCAAGCCCCTTTTAAAAATAGCTTACTATTAGCTCCACACCTAAATTACTGTTCACAGGCCATCAAAAATTATGTGTGGCTTGCAAGTAGGATTCTCGGGCTTCATGCTATGTGGCTCAATTAAGTGGCTGCGTGCAACATTGTTTTATGATGGTCAAAAAAGAAATTGTAACATGCTTTAAAGGTTGTTGAAGATTATTTTTTTTAAATTATTCCATATCCTTTGAAGTTCCTTTTGAAAACAAATCTTAGCAGAAATTTTTGTTATTCACCGTAAACTTGTAAAATTTTTACTTTGTAACTTGCTTTTCTTTATTTTAAACACATGGCAAGGATTATCATTGAAAACTAGATATTTCTCTTTCTTACCTTTTTTAGATATACAGAAATGAAAGACTGGAAAAAAAAAAATTTTTATAAGGTTTTTTTTTCAACCAGCATTTTTTATAAGGTTGTTGAAGATTATTTTAATACGATTTTTTCTCACTTAACACCGTAAAACTTCATAACCAAGATTACACCAAAATATAGTTTAGGATACTCATTATTAACGAAAAATATTTTAAGAAAAAAATGGTTTTTTCCATCTTAAGAAAAAAATTGTATAAAAATTAAGAGTAAAATATTCTGACCTCCCTATATGTTGTCTTAATTACACAGACCTCTCCTATATTTTGAAAACATACACTTAAATCTAAAATGTCAACTCTGTTAAGAATATTTTTTAAAAAATTTTTAATTCAAATTTATATTGAAATACTTTTTATTTACTAAATTACCTTTCATAATATTAAATCCCAAAATCTGAGTTAAAACTATATCGAAGAATTTAAGATTTTCTCCTTTACCTTAATTTCATTTTTTTTATTTTTGAAAATTTCTGTTTGTTTAATGTTTTTATCTTATTGGGCCAAAAAATCAAGTAATTTAGTTAATGCAAACATAAATTTAAATGATTTATATAAGTTTCCAAACTCACATAATTTATATTATATGATAAGAAAATAAGTATTCAAAATATTTTCTAGCCATTTAAAAAAAATCTTAAGTTTCAATATTTCATGAAGCACTAAAATTATATGATTCTATAATATAATTGAAATTAAAAATTTTATAACATATGAAAAATTTTGAAAATACATGTGTTATAATGATTTTTTGTTGCATCAAAAATTATTTTTTTATAGATATAAATGTTTAAATAACATTTATGTTAAAGAGGGATATTTTGGTCAAAATAAAAATTTAAAAGTCAAACTTACCGATCAACTAACAGTTGGATGGATGGAAATTGAATCTTAAAAATATAAGGAAGATTTGTGTAACATACATTTTAATTTGAAAGGAAGTTAATATATATATATATATATATAAATATATGTTTTCAAAATAGAAAGGAAGTTTCTGTAATTTAAGTAAAATAAAGGGCTAGTCAATGTATTTTACTCAAAAATCCATTTAGGATGCTAAATGCTAAATCCATTTGGGGCTAGTCAATGTATTTTACTCAATCTCGCAGGTAAATATCTTATTGGAGATTCTTTGTTATGTTGATTCTTAAATTAATTTTTGCTAGGAAAAATTGAATATTAGAAAATGAAACGTCAAAAAGAGTATGCTAGATGGTCTAGCTATGTGACAATAAATTTATATCAGTTGGATTTGTATTATTCAGTAGTTGGTAATTTCTTATGTGGTACTCTGTTTAGTTTTTAAATTATTAAAGAGTTTAGACTAACTTGTCTCATTCATTTACATTCACCTGATCTCATTTGTTCTTTCTTATATTTATGTTCAATCTTACATGATACATGCGTACTAGCAGCAGTTTCAATCATTTTCTTTAACTTGCCTCGACTGGTCAAGCTTCTCATCAAACATCTTCAAGTTCATTTATCTGTCAAATAGGTAAATATTCACTTGGAGATTCTTTGCTATGTTGTTTTTTAATGTAGGAAAAATTAATTTAACAGTCCTTATAGTTTCGTTAAATTTTGAATAAGGTCCTTCTAGTTTTTTTTTACTCTGTTAATAATCCCAATCATTACGCTTAAAAAGCCGTAGTTTAAGTTGACGCGGTTTTCCTCAGTCAGTCGCAAACTTCCTCCCATGGCTTCTCTCTCTCCTTTCCCACTGTTCATGTTCTCCCCCCCCCCCAAAACATCATCATCTCCCCCCCCCCCAAAACATCATCATCGTCTTTATCTCCTCTTCTAAACCTTCGCGCTGTGTTTAAGGGTTGTCCTCTGCTTCATTGTTATTGTTAAGGATGCTGCCTGTTCTCTGACCTTAAGAATTTGTCCTAGCTCATCCAAGTTTGATGTTTCATAACCTTCCTTCCTTTGTTCTCCAGTTAAAAATCTGGATATATATATATATATATATATGTATGTTCTCACAAAGTTCTTTTCCTTTCCTCCCAAGTTTAAACACTGAACAGTATAAACTCATAGGAATTGATGTAACCATTTAGAATGCTGTTTCTTAACTTTCATATTTTGACAAGAATTATGTCTAATCATTTTTATCTTATAGATTAATTTTCAGTTTCAACAGATCTGATGGTAAATTTCATAATATTATTTCTTCATCTTACGTCTCCTTAAGTGTTCGTCTGATATGAGCCAAATGGAAGAAAGGGGAGGGGAGAAAAAATTTTATATAGATATATCAAATATATACTTCTTTTTGCATGGAATATTAGAAATCCGTGTTTTACAAAATTATACGATATACAGCTTGAGTTAACTTGAGATATTTATTAGTTTTTTAATATGTCTTTGATCATTATTTAAACTCCAAATTTAAATTATTAAAGGATGAATAATTATATTATGAAGTTTTACACGCCTCTTTAGTCAGGGAATATTTAATATATCATGTTAAGGGCTTATGACTTGAAAATTTAAGTTCTCGAGTAAATTTTTTCAATATTTTTTTCTTAAGTAAATATTTAGAAATTCTTTTATAATAATATCTAACATAGACACGCACACGTATATGTTTTACATTTTGAAATGGTACCCTGCCTAATGAAAAGATTTAAAATAACTAGTTTTTCAATTTTTCTTAAAAAAATATAGAAATGATAATTATAAAATTAAATAAATTGTTCCCTCAGTCTCCCCATTTAATTTTAGGGTCTCTATTTTTTGGCCAAAAAAAAAGTAGAAAACACTATTGCGGTAAATACTCATAATGTATTTATTTAAATTAAATACTCCAAACTCTCTATGTGCATGCGTGTGTGTCATTTTGTGTCCGCCTTCCCTTGTGTGTCATTTTATTCCCTTTGGTATATTAAAATTGAAATAACAATTACTTTGGGACCCAAAGAAAGGAGGGAATACTTATTTTCTTTATCTTCAAGGAAAGAACAGCACGAAAGAAACCTAAAGCAGTGTGCATCAAAACCGATTTAAGTCATCATTAAGGAATGAACATATGGCTTACTTCAACTTTAGAATGGGTGTCCCCATAATTAAAGACGTCAAGTAAAGAACAAATCATCGTCATCTATTCTCCTTTAAAGAGTTTAGACTTCCTTCTTGTCTTTTTTCACATTCTTATGTCGTTCATTGCCTTCTTTCATGAACTCATCAAGGCGTCTTGCAGGTAAGTATTGTCTTTGAAAAACCATTGATTCTTTAATTAATTTTCACCAGGAAAAAATTGTGAATGTTAGAAAATTAAACATAAAAACCAATATGTTAGATGTTCTCACTTTGTGACTGTAAATTCATATTAATTGGATTTGTTTGTGTTCAATCTGTGACAGTGACAAAATAATCATGCAGAATGCTGCTTTTTAACTTTCATATTTTGACAAGATCGAAGAATTATGTCTAATTATTTTGACCTTATAGATTAATCATATCAAAACATAACTACAAAAATAAAATAAATACCACTTTCTGATCATCTCCTTTTTTCTTCACTGGCTCCTGAAATATTTTCAAACAAATTATATTTTTATTGGCTTTTAAATTAATTTTATCAAATATTATAATATTAAAATATTAAACATCAAATCTGTTAGGTGCTTTTGTCATATTATAATCAATTTATATTAACTGAATATTTATTCTTGAAAGAATTTATTTTTTCTGCATTTCATAAAAAGTTTGGTCAGTGAACTTTATTTTTTTCCTCCTTTTGGTTCCTCAATAATTGCAATTATGTCAGGCCAAAAAAAATAATTGCAATAATGAATTTTAAGACTTAATTTTTTTAAAAAAATTTTAGTATATCATGTATTTGTACCAATTGCATGAATTGTTATTTGTTACTTTTGTGCAATCTGTACATCTCTTAATTTGAATTAAGAGTTACTCGAGAGGTCATTTCTGCATTATTGGTGTAACTTTATTATAATATTTGAGGTAAGTAACAAATATCATAATAATCCATTTAGTCACTTATTTTATTTATATTTTATTTTTTTATTATTTGCCATGAATATAGTAAGGGAATAATATCTCAGTCACCAAATGAATTGACATCTTAATAAAGACAAGGAATAAAAAATCAGACCAATCACAAAACTAGTTGAGACCAGAGTCCAGCCGAAGTCAGACCAATCATATTAAAATAATATAATTTAATTGACAATAAAAAATATAATAACATTTATAAATAATAATCACTCAACAAACTGAAAAAAACTACAAAAATAGTTTAAATGTTTAATTTTTGCCAACAGTTTAAATATTTAATTGTAGCAATCAAAATTATTAAAATACATATTTATTTTAAATATTTGATTTTTCTAGTTATTTTTAGGTGTTTGAGACAAAAATCTGCACATCATTAAAATACACATCTTTTTCTTATTTTTTCTACTCTTTTTTCTCTCTCTCCCACGTGACTGCTCCCCATTTTCCTCTCCATGACACGCATCTTGAGCAGCTTTCCTCTTTCTTCCCTGAACAACGAACAGCTAGCAAGCGCAGTAAAATAGCAAACCTCCAGCAACACACTCCACAGTTCTTCATTTCTCTTTCTCAGCTAAATTGCTTTTGCCTTCCTCATTTCTCTTTCATTTATTCATACTTCATCCATCCCATTATCTCTGTGATCTTTCTTCTTACCTCCTAATCTTCTAGTTTCTCCTCTCTCTCTCTCTCTCTCACAGTTTTTCTCTTATAGCTTCAACAACAAATAAGCCCCCCTGGTAAAGCCGTTGAATCATCCTTTTATCTTTCTTCCATGCGTTTTAGTTTCCACGCTAAAATGCTTCTTCACTTTATCTTCTGGCATTTCAGGAATTCTCTCATAGTAAGGTTTGTTTTCTCTCTCTATTTTTCCTCTTCCTCTCGCTTCTTTTCTTGATAATCTTCTCCTTTCCCATATTTTATGCATTTTTAGGACACAAAAAGTTTAAACCGGATAACCCATCCCACCTGGTGGTTACCTGGTTAAACCAGTTTGTCACCAGGTCCAACAAACAAACCTAACCAGACTGGTTGAACCGGTTGGCCTAGTCCGATGTTTTTTTACCTAAAGTAAAGAATAATCTGAAAACTCTTAGTTTTATTGTGATGTTTCTACTTTTTCTATTGGGCTTGGGTGTTGTTATTAATTTAATATGTATTGTGGGTCTTTATTTAGATATTTATATCAATTGAACAAAAAAAAACAGCGGTATAAATATTTAATTATTAGCTGATAGATTTTTTTAGTGTATTTTCAGAAGAAAACCAAATCATCATCCTTCCACGAATCATCGATTCATATTAAAAGTTGTAAATACAAAATATTTTGAATCTATCTATGTTTAATTTTTTTTTGGAACCTGTGGGTAATTTTTCCAACTTTTTATTTGAAGTTCGGTGAAAGAGCACTATAAAAAAATTACAAATTTGTTTGATTCGTTCTTCTGAACTTTACAATAATAAATTTAGGAGAATGAATATTTGTAGAAATTGAACTCTAAATTTTAAGATCCATAATGCCATAGGCTTAATTACGTGAATCGATGTTTGCTTCTTTATTGATTCCAGGCTCGCTTCGGTGAAACATTTTCCTTTCCAGACTAATTTGACTGTACAGTTTGAGGTAATTAACTGAATAAATGCTTTATTTTTTTAATTTATTTCATTTTAGTTGTTTGCTACGTCTTATGATTTTTTCTGCTTAAATAATTTCTATAACTGTGTGAAGTTACCATACTTTGGGGGCTAAGTTATGCTTTCTGGTACTCAATTTTGGGAAATCGCAGGAAATCCTTTCAATTTTGTTTAAGAAAAAATTCTCCATTTTTAGAGAGTATTTATTAATCATTAATTTACATTGTTGTCTATAATATCTTCTGGTATGGTATAACTTGAGAATTCCTGTTTTTCTTGTGCTCTCTCATAATTAATTAGTTTCAGTTATCGTCTTTCTTCATTGTTAATTTTCATGTCATTATTTAGATTTTATATTAGTTGGCAGTGAAAGTATGTAACAGCAGAATGAACTCTTTTTACTTGATTTATATTTATAATATGAGAGATTATTAGTACTAAAGCAACATTAAGTGAGTATATGTCATTGCGTTTTATTGCATCAGATGGCAGAGATTGTGATATCAATTGGGTCAAAGCTTGCAGAATATTTGGTGGCTCCAATTTCACAAGGAGCTACTTATTTGTTCTGCTTCAAGCAATTCATTGGAGGTGTTGAGAAAGCAAAACAAGAGCTGGAGGCAAAACTAGAAGACGTGAAAAAGCGCGAGGAAGAAGCTGATCGAAAAACTGAAGAAATAATGCCATCCGTGAAAAAGTGGTTGGATGATGTGAATGCAATCCTAGAAGAGGTGCAAAAGCTACAACAAGAGCTTGAAGGAGGACGAAACAAGTGTTTTAATGTGTCACTCAGATATTCTTTAGCAAAACGAATGGAAAATAAGGCTAAGCAAATGATAGATCTCAAACAAAATTCCAGCTTTGAGCCATTTTCTCAACTGATCCAGCTTCCTGGCATTCCTGACTTCTCTTCCAAAGAGTTTATGGATTTCAACTCAAGGAAATCAACTTATGATCGTCTTTTGGAGGCAATTATAGATGGCAAAAACAAGATGGTGGGGCTGTATGGTGTAGGGGGCTCAGGCAAAACAACTTTGGCAAAGAAAGTGGGCAAGAAAGTGGATGAGTTGAAGCTTTTTGACAAGGTCATCACAGCAGTCGTTTCTAAACCCCCAAATATTCTGAACATTCAGCAAGAAATAGCAGAGCAAATAGGCTTGCAATTTAAAGAGGCAATTCAAAGTAATAGAGCACAAAGGCTGTAGAGGATTGAAAAATAAGAAGATTCTTATAATCTTAGATGATGTATGGGAGTATCTAAGGCTTGAAGATATTGGAATTCCAACCACTGGAGCTTGTCATATCTTGTTGACCACTCGCCTTCGAGATGTATGTGTCTCTATGGATTGTGAGAGTAAAATTGAGTTGTCTCTCTTAACAGAGGAAGAGGCATGGGCTTTGTTCAAGATGCATGCTAACACAACCAGTGTGTCAACGAATGAGTTCGATAGCATCGGAAGGAAGATTGTTGATGAGTGTAAGGGTTTGCCTATAGCAATTGTAACAGTTGGAAGCACATTGAAAGAAAAGAGTATTCATACGTGGAGATCAACAGTAGAAAGGCTACGACATCCCCCACCACTGGATATTGAAGATGATTTGAAGACCCCTTATGTAACTCTCAAAGTAAGTTATGATAATTTGTCGAGTCCGCTAGCTAAGTCGCTCTTCATATTGTGCTCTATGTTTCCTGAGGATCATGAAATCCATATAGAGGATTTAATTCGTTTTGGCAAAGGGACTCTTAATCTTGGTGAAAGAATTTACACAATGGAGAAAACAAGGAATAGGGTTTTAGCTAACATTGAGAAATTGTTAGATTCTTCTTTGTTAATGCATACCAGTAAGCAGGCACATGTAAAATTGCATGATGTGGTTCGAGATGTAGCCTTGTGGATTGCAAAGGAGCAATGTCAAGAAGTTCTGGTGGACAACCAAGAAATTTCAGAGATGTTAATTGGTAACCACCAAAGTTTGGAAGATACAAAGGCAGTGTCATTGTGGAATTTGGATGAGGATTTCGAGCTCTCTAAACAATTGCATTTTCCACAGCTCGAGATTCTGCTACTTCAACCTTATGGGTTCATTCGAGATATTGGAGCAATGGAGTCACTCAAAGTCTTGGCACTCATAAGACATGGATTTAAGTGGGAATTGCGGAGGCGGTATCCAACTTCGGTTTCAATTCCACAATCAATTGTATCACTAACTAATCTTCACACCTTATGTATTAGAGGGAAAAAGTTGGGTGATATCTCTCTATTGGGTGAACTCAAAACACTGGAGATTCTTGACTTACGTGGTTCTCTGTTTGATGAATTACCTGTTGGAATTGTAGATATGAAAATGTTGAAACTTTTGGACATATATGATTGTCGAATTGAGAAAAGTCCTATAGAAGTAATTGGTAGATGTGAGCAACTTGAAGAATTATATTTTTCGGAACACAAATCTGTCATCCCACATAATTTCTCTCTTTCAAGATTGAAGAGGTATGTTCTCTATGACTCCACATGTAGTATAATTCGTATACATGAATTTGACCCTGTTCTAGAACATCTGCATTGTCGTGGTGAAGACCCTTTTCAAGAATATCTGGATAGTTGTGGTGAAGCATTAAGAGCCTTATGCATACAAGACTTTAGAGTCTCTGCTTTGAATTCATCAATGAAAAATCTCATTCTTAGAGCAAATCACCTTTGGCTGGAAAATTGTGAATGGGATTATAAAGATATAAATCTTCAAATAAACCACTTAGGGGTATCATGTTGTCAAGAGAAAAAATTCATCATTGAGAAGCGTGATGTGAACATTCTTCAAACACAAGTATTCTCACGCTTGAGCACTTTAAGACTGTTTGAAATGAATAGTCTTGAACAAGTGTTTCAAGATTCATCTATTGGCTGCTCACTCCCAATGTTACAAGAGCTATGGATATGGAGTTGTCCTGAATTGAGAATTTGTATCTTCTCGCATGCCACCATTACGAGCCTGCCAAAGCTGAAAAAACTTCATATTGATAGCTGTGACAAAGTGAAATGGCTATTGTCTTATTCCCTGGCTTCTTATTGTCCTTTACTGAAGGAAATAATTATAAGCAATTGCTCTCAATTTGAGAAGCTCATTGATGAAGAAGCTGCACATGGGGATCCACTACTTCATGATAAGCAATATTATCCATATGTAAGTATTATTCGCAAAATTCCTTTTAAATGACTGCGTATTAGAAATAATAGTCCGTGTTGACACATTCGATGAAAAATATTTATCTTTTCATTTAATTTTTAAACTGAATTTTTTTTTTGGCTTTTCTCTTTGGATACGCATAAATTTGATATCCTTTCCTCAGTTATGTGAAATCAATGCCTGTTTATTTTAACTCCTGTGCTGAAAACAAAACTAGGATCATGCAACTGCTAATAATTTCAGTTGTAGGTGATTTTTTCTTTTTGCTCACTCTACCTTTTTTTTTTCCGAGAACAAATTGAAGATATTCCTTTTTTCGTTTAATTTGAAAAATCTGTGCTTATGATCGAACAATATATATAAGCATAAAAAATATATATTCTCAATAACCAACAATAGTCATGTTATTTTTCTTTTTGTTTATTCTACCTCTACTTTCTTTTTAATTTAAAGATATATTTATGTTTTAAAAATATTCTTAGAAAGAGATAATAGCCATTTTATTTTTTACTTGAGTTCATTGTAACCATATAAGCCTCTTTTCATTATGAAGTTTTATGAGCTCCTTATTTAGGCTACACGATAAAACTACTTTTTTGGTTTTTCTTTATTTTCAAGATAATAGAATACTATTGCTTCTTCAAGCTTTGTATTTTTCATATTAATTGATATTAATTGTCTTTTGGCATCAAGTATTTATCGTGGGAAGTACTTATTCGGAGTTGTTCTATTTATAATAAATTGACATTGATGCATTTTCCATATATAAAATGTTCTTTCTTTCTTTCGTTTGGATTTTCTGCCATGCTTTTTTGTGGATGTGAAAAAACACTTTTTGACGATGCCTCTCTTGGTCTTAAACAATTGTATGTTTCTATTTCAATTTTTGGTCAAATAAATATTTGTGTTGGTCAAGAAATATATAATATGTCTACTTTTATATATATATCATTAATTAAATGTTATAACAGAGGTTGAATGTAATCATGTAGCAAAAAATATATAGAATATTCGTTTGTTAGATACATGTTCAGATTATGTTAATTATCACCATTTTAAAAATACGTGAAATCAATTTCAAAATGAAAGTCAAGTGTTGTTTGTTATCATAAAATAGGTTTGTAAGTCACAATTTCTAGCTATCACCATCTATATATTAATTGTGGAAAGTAATTAAAGAAGCTAATATATTATAAATTAGTGTCGTTTCTTTCTTTATTTAAAGACTTTTAACTATATAAAAATGTTTGTATCATGAAATTCTATATCTTTGTACTGCTATATGAAATGAAATGATATAGGATACATACATGATCATACATTGTTGGAGAATTTTGCATAATGGATATAAAGAACTTGACATAAATATTGTTGTTTAACATTTATGTTATATACTAAAGATTAAAGGGAAGATTAAGGACTGAGTAGCAATAATAAATAAAAGTCCAGTGCCAAATTTTATATTAAATTAAAAGTATAGGGACCAAAAGATTAATTTTTTTAGATTTAAATACTAATTATGTTTTGTAACCATAATACGCTACAACTTATATTTTTCTTTTTCTTTTTCGAGTATTACAAGAATTATTTACAAATTGTCTTTGTTAATTTTTCTTTTTTCTTTTTCGAGTATTACAAAAATTATTTACAAATTGTCTTTGTTATTTCTTTCAACACACGAATCTGATAAAAGCTTTAAAATGTTTTGTTCATTTTGATTTATTATCAAAAAATTGATCTCATTCTTCCGAACAGCACTTTAATTCTTTGTTTTATATTTTTGTCAATAAAATAATTATTTAGGATACCACACTTTAAGATAAATGTTTTTCTTAAATTTTCTTTTGATATTTAAAAGATCTCTCTTACCGTGCCTCTTTTATGCTATTAAATTTTTATATTTTCATTTCAAGTTTTGGTAATAAAAAAAAGTCCTGATTGTTACTATATATATTTGCCCAGTTGTTAAAAAGGATTATTTACTAGCAATAGTTGGCAATAATTAATATATAATATAAGAAACTTACTGGGTTTAATCTCCAGTCTAGTTAGAGTAAAAAGCAAGTTGTTTTTGTACAGCCATACGCGATCGTGGGGGCTTGATGTAAGGTTGCTTTTGTTATTAAAAAAAAAAAAGCAAGTTGTTATAATCAGTCCATTTCATAATTTTAATTTTAATACATTTACAGGGAAAGGAAACTGACAGTGCCTATGTGGGGGTTATAGCGAAAAGATGCAATCAGTTGCAAAATGAGCAATCCTTGATCTTTTTTCTAAGGTTGGAAAGTCTACAAATTAAAAGCAGTGGAAAAAAGAAAGGTATATTGGAAATCCAAGACAGAGGAAGAGTAGAAGATGATGATGAATCTATTAAAGCCCAAGAACCTCTAAAGCTGGATTCAAAGTTGAGTGAATTAGTACTATGTAGTCTACCAGAATTGGAATATATTTGGAAGGGCCCCACCCAAATTGTGAGCCTCCATAGACTTGAATTTGTTTTATTGGACAGCTGCCCAAAATTAAAAAGTATCTTCACTCCTGCTATTGTTGCAAGCCTTCCAGAGTTGAGAACATCTTGAAGTATATTGCGTGAGGAATGGGAGGGAATATTTTGTGAAGAATCACTCAAAAACCTCTCTTCTTCTAATATTTGCTTCCCCAAACTTAAGCATATTTTCATATCCAGTTGCAACAAATGAGATGGTTGTTATCTTATTCTCTGCATCTCATTGTCCTTCACTAGAGATTATATCCATAGACCATTGCTCTGAATTTGAGGGGCTCATTGGTGAAGAAGCTGCACATGGGGATCCACTACTTCATGATATGCAAGATCATCCACAGGTAAGTCTCATCCGCAATGTCTCTCTCTTTTTTTTTTTTGACCAGCAAATCCGCAATGTCTCTCTTGAATCATTGCATATTAGAAAAATAATAATCCATATATATATATATATATATATATGTTGACGCATTTGCTAAAGTAGCCATGTTCAATTTACATCTCCCTTTTATTTGAAAATTTTTTGTTTGCTATCATATAATATATATATATATATTTGTATAATCATTAAACATAACTTCTACAGTAATTATTTTATTTTTGACTTCACTTTATTATACCTGCATAAACCTCTTTTATTATTAAATTTTCTTGGCTATATATTCAGGCTGCACGATGAAACTATTTTCTGAGTTTTCCTTATTTTCATAATAATAAAATATTATTTCCTTTTTTTTTTTAAATAACAACTTTTATTTGTCAGAATTTTACATTTCCTATTCTGCATTTTGGTCAAGTAAGTGACTTTTTCATATTGCTTTTGCTATTAGGTATTTATTGTGGGAAGTGATTATTCAAAGTTATTTTTATTCAAAAATAAATTAGTGTTGATGCATTATATAAAAACTACACATACTTCTTTTTTTTTTTACCGGAAAAACTACACATACTTTAAGAGAAGTATTTTTCCCTTTCAAATTTTTTCGCCATGCTTTTCTTTTCTTTTTTATGTGAGAAAATACCTTTTTGTGACTCTTTCTTTTTCTGCTAAAAATTAAGTTAACATTAGTATTTTTGTTCAAATAATTCTTTGTCGGTCAAGAAATATTTAATATGTGTACTTCTTGTTAAAAAAAGATATATATATTATTTATTAAATGTGATATAGTTGTTATAATAGAGAATTAACATAATCATGTAGTAAAAAGTATTTACAACATTTGCCGGTCACACATTTTCCATGTTACTACAAAAATTGATTGAGTCTGGTAAAACGCATGTTGAGATTATGTTAACACAATTTTAGAAGTACATTATTTTTATTTTGCCATTAAATGATCAATTCGGAAAATACTTATAATGGCCAGCATAATATAAATTAGTGTCTGCAGAAGTTCTCACTAGAGATTTCAAACATTTTGATAAAACTTTTCTTACGCTCACCTGCCTCTTTTTTCATAGAATTTCTATTTAGCATTTACATTGTAATACTAAAGATTAAACTGCTCAAATTTTTCTTTTTCTTTTTTCAGCACTACAAATTATTAGTTGCAAGCTGTATTTTTTAATTTATCTTTCCACATATGAATTTGATAAAAATTTTAATCTCTTCAGTTCATTTTAATTTTTGTCAAATAATTAATTTTATTTTTCCAAACAACACTTTCTATTTTTTATTTTTTATTTTGTCAAGCGAATAATTATGTGGGACTGTATTTTATTTAGAATAAGTTGGAGTTGATATAATATCTATAAATTACCAATTTGTTAAATTTTCTGTGGACGTTAAAATTTTAATGTTACAGTGCCATTAAATTTATGTGGTTTATGTGTGTGTATACATAGTTCATATGTTGAATTTTCATCTAATCATTGAATATTTTTACTTCACAGAAACATGACAATGACACAGTGAGGGTGGTAAAGTCAGAATTGCGTGTTATATGGTTAGAAGATCTACCAAAATTAGAATATATTTGGAAAGATCCCATACAAATTTTGAGCTTCCATAGACTTGAAAGCATTAAACTGTTGGAATGCCCGAGATTAAGAAATATATTCACTGTTGCTATTGTCACAAGCCTTCCAGAGTTGAGGCAACTTGATGTAAGAGGATGCAATGAATGGGAGGGAATATTTTGTGAAGAGTCACTTAAGAATCTGTCTACTTATTCCACTGTTTGCTTCCCCAAACTTGAGAGCATTCTTACAAGGAATTGCCACAAAGTGAGAAGGGTGTTCTCATATTCTCTGGCATCTCATTGTCCTTCATTGAAGAGAATAACTGTAGAGAATTGTTATGAACTGGAGGGGGTTGTTGTTGAAGCTTATGAAGGTGAAGTAGCTGCTCATCATCATCAAAGGCTGTTTCCTAAACTGAGTGATTTGGAACTCATGAAGTTGCCAAAGTTGAGAGAGATTTATGAAGGTTATGAATTCAACCTCCTTTCTGGTACTATAACAATAGAAGATTGTCCAAACATATCAAAAATCTCAAAAGTCCCATTAGACAAGCCCTCGTCATCAGGTTCGTAGCTACACTCTTTCTTTCAAACTATTATCATATTTAATCAATGAAATAATTTTGTGCATTACAATTTCTATCGTTATATGGAAAAAAAAAGGTCTTTTATTAGAAGAAAAAAAATTCTATCTTAACACCCACACACACATCGCTCTATTTTTTTTTTATAATAAGAAATTGCAATCACTCCCAAAAAATTTTCGTGTCTATATAATGGTCGTTATGTCAAAATCATAATAATGTACTCGTACTAAATAAGTGACATGTTATGGTAATATTAGAAGTTGAATAATTATTTAGAACTAAACAATAATTAATTTCCACTATTTTCGCATTCGTAGTAACACATTTTTTCTCATCATTATAAGCATAATTAGCTGTAGTTTAGTACACATTATCCAAGGAAAATTTCAAAAATTGTGTATAATAAATAAGTTTATTGGTTTTTATTTTGTCTATGTTCCATTTTGATTAGACTGCTAATTAATTGTTTTTGTCTTTGGTCAGCCGTGGAGATCAAATTAGAAAGTTAGATAATGAAGGACTGATTTGAGCTTTGGATCTTCTAATGGTTTCTTTATCTGCATATGTGTTTTACTGAGTTTTATGTCTGTGAAAATGTGTTGAATTTGTATTATTGTGTTGAAAATAGATGAAAATGTAGATATAACTTTACTCTGAAGTTATGTGATTATATTCAACATTATACACAAAATACAATAATTGCGTGGCTCTTGTGTCCACTACTTATTTTGTTTCAAATATTGTATCAATCAATGATTTCTTATCTTATTCTTTATTTCAATTTCGTAATATAGTTATTATTATTTTAAAAAATATAATCACAGTTCTATATTCATTTTGATGTAGAAAAAATCATTCCAAAAGAGCTTTCTCAAATTAAAAAAGAAAAAAAAAAGGATAACATACTTTTAAATTGTAAACGAATCTGTTTCGAAGGTTCTAAACTTTATAATCCAGTCCATCAATTTGATGACTGTAAATAATTGTAAATTTTTCAACAATTGTCGACATTTTGTATAAAATTAAAACAATTTTCAAGAGAAAAATATCATTAAAGGGAACAATTATGTAAATTTTATGAATAAAAATTCAACATTAATAATATTAGATAAATTTAAAATACTTTTCATCAAAGACAAAAATTGAAAAATAAATAAGTTATCTGGTTGTAATGTAACTAATTTATGTCTTGCTAAACTATACTTTATTATCTTTTGTTTTAAGAAATTTCGAACACATCAGCTCGAGTTGTGAGCTCCGCCATTTATTTGATAGCTCTAATTGTCATAATTTTCATTCATGCAACTTAATTTTAAAATATATTGTTAGGCAAGACATAAACTAGTTACATTACAACTAAATTATTGTATATATTTGGACATTTCAACAACGTATGTTATAATTTTCTTTTATGTTTCATTTATAAATATATGATATCTAATATTGTTAATTTGAGCATTATTAGATTCCATGATCAGATAGAATTAGATTATGTTGTAAAAACACAAGAATTAGATTACATCTGGCTTTCACAAGGAACAGTGATAAGTGATAACTATAAAAAGAATATAACAAAACTTCCTTGTGTTTAATTTAAAAATAAAAATATCATTCATAGTCCACCTATTATAAACCAAAGTCCTGCTGTTTTCCCCCCTTTTTATTCATCTATTAAAGTATACTTTAGCAAACATATATAAGAAACTAGGATTCTTTACATTCATGGATTGATACATTTGAAGAAAGTTCCATAAAAGAATGTAACTACAAATTAGAAATAGTCTTGAGAGTTTTTGAAAAGGTACTAAAGCTAGAAACACAAATGTTCTCTTTATTGAATCTACAGAGCATGAATCCAAATGCTTTATAATCCTAAGTGGGACCAAGTTAAAAAAAAAAAATCTAGGGATGATTGTGAAGAAAGAATATTACTCATCATATTTGCCATGACTTAAAGATTTATATATGTGTTTCTCATTCTCATGAATATCAAGTAGGTGGAAAAAACCTGTTGCGATTGAATGGCAAAGTATAGAACTCTTCATTTCTGCTATCTCCTTTAAACTTTCTGAACTTTGCCCACCACGTCATTCCTCTATCTTTCTTTGACTTTTCAACCTCGAGCATGTTGTCAAGGAACACTGTCACGATCAAAGCCACTGTGGCCAGTGATGAGAATATGGTGTTTATGAGTGCATTGAACTACAAAAATGACACATTGTCAAACATAAAAATGAGCTCTTGATGTTCGAAAATTTCAGCAACAATGCAGGGATGGTTTACTTCTATCTTAATCAATAATCTAAGCCTTTTAAGACAACTTTGCACTTAATCCCATCAAAGGGCTTGAAATTAAATGCTCTAAATTAATAGAAAATATCTATTATCCAAAGAGAATGAAGTACGGTGCAGTCAATATTATATTGAGACCAGTATAGATGCAAAAACAGCTCCAAACTTTCTAGCAGAAACAAACAGAACTTTAGTTTAGCTTGTGTAAAAAAACTATTTGCCTACTCTGCTTTCAGCTTTGTCATCATAACAGATAACAACCAACTTGTTAAGCTCATATCATCAGAAAAGATGGGAAAATGTGAATGCAACCATCAAAATTTTCCTTAAAAAATAAAGCTCCACTGCAAACAGTTAATGGCGTGCATCATCCTTATCCTAAAAAATAGCATAAGGATGTGTCGTTATACATTTCTTGCAATTATTCACAGGACAGCATCAATTAATATAAATCTAATATTGGAAAGAACACATTAACAACTGAAACCTATAAACTATTATTATATGTGTGTGTGTATATATATTAGAACTACTTTTTCATATATCATTACACTGAACATTTTTTTTTTTTTGGGGATCAAAAGTACTTCTGTTAGAGGTGCAAATCAAATATTCGCCGGACATTTAAAAGGCGCTTGTGATGATTCCAACTTCAAGTAATAACATCTTTTTTTTTGGGTCAGAAAAGGTATAATATCATTAAAACAAAACAGAACGACTTAAAGTTTAAAGGCAAAGAAAACAACAGAAACTCAAAAACCTAAAAAAGAGCAGAACAGGAACGCGAGAAACATCAAAAGACAACACTGAACTGGATCACTCCTATAGCAGCAGCCGAGAACAAACAGATCTGGTTCACTCCTATAGTAGCACCTGAGAATAAACCGTGAGAAAGAAGGGGAGACGATGAAAAATCTATCCAAGAACACGCTCCCTTAATGCACTTGAAGCTGCACACCAAAACAATCACAAAACCAGGCAAGCAAAGATGAGCACAAGTTAACCATCCTTCTAGAGGAGAAACGAACAAACAAAAGAAGAAATTATTGGGATTGAGGGGCATAAAACCCAACCATAGAGGCCACAAACCCATTACGAAACTCCTTAGGTCATCCAAAGAAGCTAAGTTGCAACAGAGGGCAACAAATTCCAAAAGGAACATGCTCTCATGAAAGAAGCTCCACCAATCACAGCCAAGCTGAGCAAAATCAACACAAAGAGCCAGAAGCTTTTTATCCTCTAGATTTCCAGTCAACCAATGACCAATCTCCAAAGCCAAAGCAGAAGCAAACCTCCCTCTTAAACCAGAACCATCAATCCTAGCAACTACTAACACTAAATTCTTAAAATCAAATACAGACTAATGACATCCAGGCAGCACCCATCTTAAATCATACTTAATTTTTAGTGGAGCCCTTTTGATTGCTATAAAGAAACTAAACTTCTGGACCTTCCCTTCGATAAAGATTGAAGCAAAGCAAACAAATGAGTTACCAATAAATCCCGAGATATCCTTGTCTTGAAAGGAAAACAAACTAAAGCTCCATATCACCTTTGAGAAAACTATGGCAAGCACTATCTCAAATAAAACCAACAATACAAACCAGCAGCAACAATCATTTTGAACAGAAACCAAGGTTTTCCTCATATTCCAAAACCACCAAGAAGCATAAATCAGACCAACCAGCACAACACGCACTTCATAACAAGCAATCAAACCATAAGGCCAAAAGGAGTTCACAAAGAAACTATTCGAAGAAAGAGTATCACATCTTGTTACCTCACAAGGCCAAGGCAAAAGAATCCCACAGAACAGACTTACATCAAGAAGGCACTGGGAGATTAGCTTTAATTTGAGAATCATTGATCCATGGCTCAGATCTATTTTGAAGAAACAACTCATTTGCTTCCAACACATAGAACTCTCCTTCACCCATACTCCTCTGACCAAAATAGCTTCCAGATTTCACCATCTCTGGTGCTATTCCCATTGATTCCCAATTTGTGCTCGGCCATTCTGTTTTTGTCTTCGCCATTCTTGTTGAGGCTCCTAGTCGTGCTGCCCACTGATCTTCCTCCTTCGAATCCCTAACCAAAAAAGCCTCAGAACTTGCCCTCATCTTCAGATCTAGCAAAATCTCCAACTCACACGCGCACACACACTAGGCTCACTCTCCCCCAGCGGCGACGCTGTTGGAAGTCGCTCACCTAGGGGTGGTTTGTGCTCTCACGGGAGGTGAGAATTTGCTCTCACGAGAGGATAGGTTTAATTTAAGTAATAACATCTAGTTGGATTAATTTTCTAGTTTTATATGCTAATTAATCCCTTTTGTTGTAATTCTGATTGTGACTGATGCTTTTGAATTGCCATGCCAGAATATGAGTAGTAGAATTAGTAAGGTGATTAATTAGTTGTAAGTGTTAATAACCTAATTAGTTGGTGGATGCCCTTTATTTCTGCTTAGCGACTTGCCATTCTCTTATGAGAATTGCTTGGAACTTCCACTGAATCCTCTGTATCCATGAGGACTGAGGATATTGACACCAATGGAATAAGATCCAACACAATGGCTGAAAACTTCTTTTAGGGGCACTAAAGGAGACATTGTAGATCGTAATTCATAACAATTCAACTCTTTTCAATTAAAAAAAATGATTACTTTAGTAGAGCATTGGGGTGAACAAAGCATCCTTG